GTGATCACTTTGTGCATAATTTTTTTCCAAATTGGGCGTCTGTTATCCAATCCTTTAGAAACTATAATGAGAGTAATTGTGGAGCGATCCTGAGCAATATTCCGAAAACTATTCTCAAAAAGTTCCAGCCAAATTTGAAATATTTCAAAAACCTACGCGTCTATAGTTTTGAAATGCACTGTAGAACACAATTCAAGCTCGTACTCAAAACAATTGCATGAACGTTTTACAATGTACTTTTGAGGCAACGAACTGAAATCTACAGTTGTGGCAAGTGAAATCCGACACTTGGCATAAGGGACAGCACCGTGCATCCTGCAGCCTCTGCAGCCCTGCATACGTACAGTACATGTGCTGCATACAACTTTATCTGTCTGATGACAGAATTCGTACTCATCACAGTCAAGGTTCAAAAGGTGCTGGCAAAAATGAATGGGAATTGGATACCAATACTCCTTATGTGTGCCATGTTTGTGAACTGTGTGTATCTAAGCTGTGACCTTTCGACCTGTTTGGGATGCATACGGCTCTATAGTACAAATTAGGTGCAGTGCATTACATCATTGATGTCCATTTGAGGCGCTGTCCCCTATGGCAAGTGTCGGATTTCACTTGCCACAACTGTACTTGTACCAAAACAAACAATTGGCTCACCGTCTGAGTTCTTAACAAACAGCCTAGTACATGTATCGTGCTGGGAACGTTAGTGTTCAGCACACTAACGTGAATGGTGCTGAACACGATAGATGTGTTACAATACTTCCATTCCGTCAATATTATCACAGTAGCACAGCGTCCGTGGTGATGAGATGCAGGCAAATGGATCTCAGCGCTCCCTTCAAGGGTCCATCTTGGCTCTCAGTCACATTATTAGTATTATTATCTGGAAGCACTCAGCCGAAGGCCGGAGATTGGCACCCACCGGGCTAGCATCCAGCAACCAAAGGTGGGGCCATACATCATAGGGATATTAAAATATGATGGTAGGTAAACAACAGAAAGAAACGCACAACACTTTTTAATATCAATCATAGGAAACATGAGAGAGTTTGGAGGGAAACAGGACCGAAAGAACTCCACCACCCACCCCAGAGCATTACAAATCAAGGACGTTACGTGGGATAGCTGCCGAGCAAAGGAGAGCATTCTTTTGCAATTCAGACACAGAACAGTAGCTGGTGATACCGATGGTGTCAAGGTATCCTGGCAACTGCTTGGAAACAGTGCCCAAAGTCCCAACTACCACAGGAACAATCTCAGTCTCAACTTGCCATCTCTCAACTTCCTTTTCAACAACGCATGGATCACCAGGTACAGCAATGCCAATGATCAGGGCCTTCTTGGCAGGTCCTTCAACCAGAACAATATCAGGCCGTCCGTGCTCAATGAAGCGATCGCACCGGATGGTGAAGTCCCACAGAATCTTGATCTTCTGGTCCTGCGGAGAGATGTGGGCGTCTCAAGTACCTCTAGCTTCAGGCACGTAATCCTTGGGTGCAGGATGCTCTTGTACCGTGTCATTGGTCTTGGTATGCTCAAGAATTGGATCACAGATGTACTTGTCTTCACATGGTATCCCATGTACACGACAGAGCGACCAGAGGACCAGAGAGGCCAGCCGACTATGACGCTCCAAGTAGTCCCGTCCAGCGAGCTTTGAACACTCGCATAGGATAGCGCTTTCATAATATTGGGCAGAACTGCCCGTTTGCCATGCAATGTAAAATAAATATACAACAACAACAACAAACAACAACAATATGGGCAACTGACTCGCCTGCCTGCCCACACATTCGACACCGATGGCTTCCACCCTGATGGAAGATTTGGGCCTTGAGCAGTTTAGTTGCCAAGGCCTGGTCTTGTGTCGCGATGATCAGACTCTCTGTGGTCTTCTTGAGACCTGCCTTTGTCAGCCAACTCCAGGTGTTCTCGTTGGTCAGTTGTGCAGTTTGCCTGACAAACTGTCCACCAGGTGTAGAGGTGTTCTACTTGAAGCCGACACTTCACCACCTGTGCGGATCCCCGTGGGGTATCTAGATGAGGCCACAGAATGGGCGCAGCCACCTTCAGGAGTTCCTCGTCTGACTGAGGCACATAGCGCTCCAAATTGCCTTTCTCCATGGTGACAACGTCATGAATGCTTTGCAAACCACGTCCACCCTCCTTGCGACTGACGTGTATACGGGATACATCAGCGCGTGGATGGAGAGCTCCATGCATAGCCATAATAGCAATAAAAACTGCTTTATGGCAGCTTTCTAAAAAACGTTATTGTGTTCTAGTCCTGGGTCCTTCCCCTATAGAAATTTTATAAAATTGCTTCCAAACTGCCTTGGACTCCGTCTAAAAAGTAAAAAATTAACGAAACGTGATTGCCGAAAATTATAATTTCACACAAAACCTCACAATAATCACAACACTTGACAATCAAAATTCTGCTTTCAACACTTCTTTAGTCTGACGCTTGTACTGGCACTGCACCAACATGCATGCATGGGAAAGAGGATCGCGAGGGGAAAAGGTCTTCTCGCTTTTCATCCTGTGTGATTATTCTGAGGTTTTGTGTGAATTTATAATTTTTTCGGCAAGCGCATTTCGTTAATTTCTTACTTTTTAGACGGAGTCCAAGGCAGTTTGAAAGCAATTTTATAAATTTTCTATAGGGGAATGACCCAGGACTAGAACACAATAACTTTTTTTAGAAAGCTGCCATCAAGCAGTTTTTATTTCTATAATTTCTTTTGTTGTTTTTTTATGTTACCAATCGGATGCCCTAAATGATGGCCTGGTACATCATATCAATACCGTATTGTCCGCATTCATGTGCAAGCCGTTTCTTAATAAACTTGCAGAAAGTGGCACTTGCATAATCATGTTCTTCTGCTGGGGAAACATGTGGGTAGTGGTGGTGATACTTTTTTGTACGCACGTCATTCTGTGGATGTTCCTAATGCAGAATTTCATGACTCTGTCATAAAAGTGTCTTGCCTTTCAGATATTTCAGATTTCCCCACCCTCAATCAGATTTACTTGAGAGATGTAACCAGGTGCGCGTCGCAGATGTTTTTGTTGAATCTGTGTTTATAATTGTAGTCATGGGTTATCGTGCATCATATTGCACTGAGATCTTAATCCTGTTGATGTCGATACAACTTTTGGAAGTAGTTCAATGACTTCAAAGTGTTAGTCCACAATTGTCTAAAACAGCACAGCAAAGTAAGAACAATAAACATGTATTAAAATTTAAACAAATACATTTTTGAGTCCGACACCTGGTTCCAACAACTACACTGATCCTGAATATATAAGGGGCAAGGCTATGGTTGGAGGTACTGAGAGATAAACAAGGCACTCCATTATGATAAAATGTTAGACATCTTTTGGTGAGTATGAATGATATCCAGTCGAAGCTCTTTAGGACGGACACCAAGGGATCGATGGTATTTGTTCTGTGACTTTGTCTTGACCCTATTTTATAACCAGTGAATACAATTATTTCTCCAATAGAGATACGAATAGATTTCCTCTACAGCGAAAGATTCTAAGCCACACCGACTCATTGACTCGTCTCGTATGAAACAAATGTACATAACCCTCCCCCCCCCCCCCCCCCTGTGTGCTCCCCAACGCATTCACGCTGCACAACTTTTACTTTCCATTACTTTCACTTTAGCTCATACATGTTCAAGTACACCCTTTAAAGCGGTGAACCCCTTGATAGGCGACAAGCCTCTGGGTCATCCTAATAAAGACATTATTATTATTATAATGAGTCACTGAACCGTTCTTTAGCAACATGACGGCAATGGAAACAGCAACAGACAAAATACGATACATGACTGTACAGCACATTCTTGCAGGTACTACAAACAGATTGCAGATCGTAATTTCTGCTTTGCCGGCACGCAACTATATCCGCCCCCCCTTCCCAATCTGTACTCTCTTGAGTCTTGTACCATCATCCTTCAATGCGACGGACCCCACGATAGGCGGTCAGCCTTTGGGTCATCCTAATAAAGTTATTATTATTATTATTATTATTAAGTTTGGGGCAGTGCAATCTCGGCGCTACTCACAAATCAAACAGCCCAGACTCGAGTAAACAAATCCAATCGTACGAGATCTTCACGAGACGAGACTGCACCCATATAATTGGCTTGTTTCGTATGAAGCAAACAAGTCACTGAACCTCTCCATAATGGAGATTTCCCCTGATATGCGAATTTATTTTGCATGCTCGGTCAATGCGTCCTTGTAACCTTTCCCTCCAGATTGGGAACTGCCAACGATGTTATGCCACTGCAAAATTCAGATTCTACCCTATGATCGGGGCACGGAATGCCGGAAGCAATCATGACCAGTGCCTTACTTGTAACGCGCCAATGTACAATGAACATGAGTATTTCGACAACACAGATAAGCCTCAGCAGCAACATAAGCCTTACCGTCAAGAAATTGAACTCGCGTTCTCCGCACACTGTGGGCAAGGGCAAAGAGATACGAATGGATCTAAATCCGAATAAAATCAGCACACGTTTCCGTAAATGAAAGGGTGAGCATAAGCAAATGAATCGAAGGAAACTGGTCAACTCAGAGATCACCTGTCATTGAGTATTCCGTAAAAGGAGGCCAGTTCCATTAAAGGGAACTGGTCAACCCACCTGTCATTGAGTAATATTCCGTGAAAGGAGGTCTTAGTAGCGCCGAAGCGAAATAAGCCGGGCCAGGAGACGAAATATCCGAAACAGCTCATGCAAGAAGCAGTTCTAAATAAGGAAGTTCCTCGTGCATGCACATCCGAAAGGTCTGCAACAATATTGATTGATTGATTTTTATTTCACGGATCCTCCAGAGACAAATAGATGCCTATCGAAGGGAGTCTCCTCTGCCATGCACACGCACGCGAGCGGTCACCAGGTCTCAGAGATCGCCTAGTTAGGACAGGTGACTGTTGGCAGTGGTTGCTATAGAAATTGAGTACTGCGTACGCGTCATTTGAGCGTTTCAAAATTCACTTGATCTGTTTCTGCTGTTTTGATGCAGAGAGGGAGGAATGGTGGATTCGGGCTGATTCGGATGGAGAAATGCACGAATGCAGACCACATGCGTCAAATGCAGGCGTACACGTGTACAGTCACGTGTTGGCAATGGCCTTTTCATGCATTCCCCTGAAAAAAAATTTGGATTCTATGTGTAGTTTTTTTTTCGTTGAGAGGTCTTGCTTGCCCAAATACTAGAAATAGGGCACAGACTTCGTCTTTTTTAGTTTGGTGATCGCCAGTCTACGTTTGGAGCTTTTCGACAGACTTCGTCCAGTGCCACCAGACCACTGATCATGTCGTCGCGGAAGCATGACGTGCAGGCCAGACGTTCCTCGCGTCGTGCCACTCCTGGGGCCTACCAGTGTGGAAACCCCTTCCACTACCAGTGGGGGAGTACGTCCACAAGGAAGGACAAAAACGCCAGGAAGTCGCTGTTGAATGTCCTCTCCAGCATCAGCGGACGGAACATCAAGTCTATCTGCAGGTAGGGCATGGGGCCGTGAAATTCTAAGGGTCGAATTTGTTGTACTGTATATGAAAACATACCTGATTTTTCATTGAACTCCACGTGCCCATTGTATTTGAATTTCGTTTAAAGTGCGGCATTGGTAAGCCATAATAGTAATTGCTCGTGTTCTGTTTGATAGCTGCCAATGGTGTCCAGCATGGTGACTTGATCGGGAATGATGACAATGTTTGGAAGGCACTGTACAGGTCTATGAAAGCACTGTGATGATGAATGAAATGAAAGCACTGTAGAATTCAGGTCACCGTGTGCTTTTGGGGGGGGGGGGGGGGATGTGTTGACAAGTGATTGCCTTGGGACTATTTCATGTGAAACTACGGTTTGCCCACTGTCTGACCTAAAATTCATTCATTTTGATCCAACTTGTAGGTACTGCCGACATGTTGCTGATGAGAAGCCAGAAGTCACCAGTCACCCGCTCTACAAGGGTCCGTCAGTATTAAACACTCCTGGTGTGGTAAGTCGCAATGATGCTCCTCCTTTTGATGATTCTGTGGATGGTGGGGGTGTGGCCTCTGGTGATGGATCTGCTTGTGGGATTCAGTGTGGCAATGGCGTGGGAAGCAATTGTGGTAAGGAGGTTGGCGTTGCTTGTGCCGGAGGGTCAGTAGGTAGTTTACTCGACACAATTGGTCATGGGTTGGGCAGCAGCTTGGGTGGTGGTCAGGAGTTGGGCAGTGGTAGCACAGGTGGCGAAGACTTAGATAGAGATAGCTTAGGTGGTCTGGAGTTGGGTACGGACAATGTATCTGTTCAGGAAGAGGGTAGGCCCCACCTACTTGGTCAGGATGTGAGTGCCTTGCCTGACATACCGTGTTCTTGTTGTTCTGAACTGCAAGTACAGTTGCTGGCAAAGGAGGCAGAAATAAAAGCCCTCCGTCTTCAGGTGGGTATGTTGGAGAATGTTAGGGATGAGCAGGCCAAACAGCTTGCTGAGGTTACAGAGCAAGTTGAGGGGATGGTGAAGGTGGATGAGTTATTGGCACAACAGGTGGGCCGGGTAAATCTGGTGGAGAAAATAGTGGAAAAAGAGAACATGCTGTTGTTCTCGGATACTGTTACTGCAATACAAGGAGCTAAATCCAGCCGCACCGTTGCAAATTTGCTGGCAATCCCCGAAGGTCGCCTAACCGCAAGGCCATATAATCCCGTGGTCGAGGCTTTTGTAACTGGGATTACAAAGCCGCTTAGTGTTTCAGGCAGTGATGAGGCTGACCGTAAGCGGGCAATGAGGCAGCAGGAGGCCATAGAGTGTATTCATGCTGCCAGAAACTTGAATTATTGTTCAGATTTTCATGTCCTGTTCCAGTCAATTGTGTATGCAGTCACTCAGAGTCGGGTTGCAGTTGACCTCATTGGGCACCTTGGGCCGGGAGGGAGCTACACTCTAGTGAAGGATTGGCTGGCTAATCTTGGGGGCGAGCGCATTTCAGTTCCCCCAGGGTTTGTCACCATTGGCTTCGATAATGAGCAAAGGCAACTCAAGTCATATTTGTCCCGAGGTGCAAACCGCTCTACGTACGAGGTTCTTACGAATGTTGTTTATGCGGTCAATGATGACTCGTCAGTACAGAGCAATGAGCAATTTCATTTCAGGCACTGGGTTTTCCCATCTGTGGCGGAACTACAGAACATTTACGACACACATCCCGAAACAACAGACTCACACTCACCAATGCACGCACACCTTCTTCAGTACATGGACTCGCGCATAAACAATCTACTCATGGAGGCAAAGTACAAAGACCCTGTCGACACATATGGGAGAGAGGAGGAAAGGGCAAAGAAGGTGATTGTGTGCCCTGGCTGTAAAACGGAGTATGAGAAGCGGAAGGTAAAATGTTCAAACACAGAGTGTGCTGTGGAGAACCTTAGGGCAGCTATAGCCAGTGCGACCGGGCAATCTCGGGTGTCGACTGAGGTGATTCGTGTACCCCGACAGGGTACAGTTGGGCACGGGACACAGTACGTTTACAAGAACGTTGCAGATGGTGCTGGTGTTGTTGTGGGGAAAGTTCGTAGTGGAGTACACGGGGCCAGTGAAAACACTCTTCCTCCAGCTGATGTTGGGCTTCTTGAGCCAGTTTTCGTAAATCCCAATTCCCATGAGGCCGTCCGTGTGCTATTGAGAGAGATTGGCAAAGATGCAGGGGTGAACCAGTGTTTGGGTGATGGTAGTGGAACGCGGCATTGGGTCAATGTTGTGTGTGATGGGTTGCCGTATTCCCTGATGCGAACTGTACTGGGTGAGTCAAGGGAGGCAGTGAGGCTGGCTACCTTGAATGCCGCTGGAGTGCTAAACTCTAAAGCCATGGGCAAACAGGAGCTAGTTGGGGCATTGAGAGAGCGAGGGCTGAGTACTGCCGGTAGCCTTACCGTATTGCGCACCAGGCTAGATGACCACTTGCAGCTGGAAACCACAGCTGGAAACATCACCATGCCACACCACTATCCGGATGCAGAATTTGATTGGGTTGTGTGTCAGAGCGGCGGTCTGCACTGGGAGATGAACTTGATACAAGCTGTCATCAAGACATTGTTTCCCTTTGTCTACAAGGAGTTTCTCTTGTGCCAGGGCTACACATCCCCACGTCAACTCGACTGGGCTCACAAAGCGAAAGACCATCACCGGGCATATGATGAGCTGAGCCGCTTTACGGACGGATGTGTCGATGAGCTCCTGCGACCCTACGTACTGCACTGCGGACAGGACGCCCGTCCCACGGCACATGGATTTCTTGCTTGGGCTGAGAAGCTCAAGGGGAACCATGTTTTCACCTGGCTCCTGCATTGTGTTGTGCAGTACTGCTTTCCCGCATTTATGCTCCGGCGTGGCATGCGGCACGACGACATTGACCTGTACCTTGCAGCCCGGCGGACAATGTCGCCACTTCTCCATGCTCGCAACCACACAACGTACCAGCTAATAGAGCTGTATGAAGAGCAGCAGCGGCTTGCGACTCCACCCGACCTGAGGAAACTCCTGGACAGGACACTGTTCCTGAGCCGCTCTGGCAGAACAGACGCGCACCAAGCAGTCGACGCTGTGGTTGAAGAACTAAATGCCAACATGAAGGCCTGGGTGTCTGGTGACAAGGACTCAAATATGTGGCGGCATGTGGCCCGCAACTACAACCAACTGGTGACGTTGAGGTCGAAGGTATTTGGCACCCTGAGGCTCACGGATCCCAAATCCACTGCTAAGGCCCAACCGTCGTACGAGAAGGAGCTGGTTGTTTGGCGACACCGCCTTCGTAGCTTCCTGTGCCCTGGAGAAGAGCTGGCTCTTCACCGCCCGTTAGAGTCCATGTCATCCGATGAGGACATGTTGGACACTGCTGTGGACCTCACCGACAACGGGAAGCGTCGTCGCCGAGAACTTTGCGAGTCCTTTGGTAATGGACAGTGGCCGAAGACTCGTTCATCGAAGTCCGTCCACTTCCTTACCACTGATGAGAAGGAGAAAGTCCACGCAGAGAGCAACCGTTCAGTGGCATCTCTCAAACGTGAGTTTCATCGCCTCGTCCAGCACCTACCTGACCAAGCACTGGCGTCAGAACTCGCAGCACAGCTCCAGGTCTGTTCTACTTCCCAATCTGCTCTGGATGTTGTCAAACAGCTCCGTTCCATGGTTAACTCAATCACTGATGTTCAGCCGGCAGTGGACATGGAAATCGACTCCTAGTTACATACAGTGGAATATACAATGGGCCGGTCTATTTGTAATGGAATGTCAATGCATTTGGTGAGTTCTGTGCCGTTGTATTTGTACAAGTAGGCTCCAACTTCCATTTCCTGGGTGCTGGGGTGTGCAGCACTACTGTCAGACTATGGCATTATTTATGTGCCAAGGGTAAAAAATAGCCATCAAAATTATGTGGTTTTGGTGTGCGCCATTTTTCATTCTCTGCGAAATCTACACTTACAGCTGTTGGAGCTTACCTGTGCATATTGTTTAGTTTGTATGTTATGGATAATGCACTAATGTAAAAAAAGGGTTGTGCTGTACTTCCTCCGATAAGCAAACTTTATTTACTTTTGACACACCCTGAAGTAGAAAAATTTTGCTGAACGGAGGTAGTACCATTTAGGAACATTTTTACTGAGTTGATGTGTACAACCAAGAGTACATAACCCCCCAGAGTGTGCAACGCCTGATCCAGCTCTGCATAGGGTCTTGGTCGAGCGGAATCGGATCTTTGCGTCATAATACCGTACACATCTGAGGGGAACCCGGGGAGTCGCGGGTACTCTTGGATCAAAAACAATGGTGCCCTGCCTCGAGACCGGCCTTGCGCTGGTGTGAAGTGTACGCATGACATCAGAAGATCCGATTCCGCTCGACCAAGACCCTACACAGAGCTGGATCGGCGTTGCACACTCTGGGGGGTTATGTACTCTTGGTACAACTGGCATTTTAAGAACAAAAATGTTGTTATAAAGTACTGGTGGTTTCACAGTTGTAGTAAAATACGGAAAAAAAAGATCTAGCCTGGCTGAATTCCGAGGCACATCGCAGGTGTTCTGGGAGTGATGTATGATGAATGGTTTCATAACTAAGTTGTTCGTACACAACTTTCCTCTTTGTTATGTGCGTCTGACATACCTCTGTAATCTGTACTGTTCTGTTTCTCGAGCTGCGTGTTGAGTATGCTCGGCGGTCAGTATGCTCTACATAAGAAAACATTCAATGAACATTGATGCTGCGTTTTCTTGTGCTGTTTGCTCTCTTTGTTTGGAGTGATACTGTAGTGCGAAGTGCGTTGGATGCTCTCAGTCAAGCCGTCACTCGTCCTATGCAGCTGAACAGTTCTGAATTTTTCTGCACCATGCCCATGAATGCATGGCGCAATATGGTGGCCTTGAAGGCATCACACGGAAGTTCCTCACAAGGAATATGACAGTTCATAATGACACCACACAGGAAATTGTGTGCTTGTAATTCTTCAATCTTGATATCATTGATGCCATGCGGCCAGAACTTCTGGTATATTCACTCATGAATTATAGCATTATGCTTCTTGTCCGAGTGCTGCTGCTGCTGCGCTCCATCTCTTTCTCTGTCTTGCCACTTCTTGTTTCCTGCATTAGTAGGCGCGACTATTACTGCTGCTACTGCTGTTGCTGCTGCTGTTGGCGCTGCTGCTGCTGCCGTTGCTGTACGTAGAGTTGTATCACGTGTTGCTGCTCCAGCTGGTGCTGTTGCTGTACATGCAATGGTATCAGCTGTTGTTGTTCTTGCTGCTGCTGCTGCTGCTCTTGTTCAGGTGGTTGCCCCTTCTCTTTCAAGGTTCTACCGAGATAACAATGGTCACACAATGTTTGTTCGTCTTCGTCCATTGATTGGCACATGTGGTGGTATGGTCGTGCACATCCACGACATGTCCTGAGAAGGGGAGGTGGGCCGCCTTTGCAGGCAATACACACATTTGTTTGGGTTGGCGCTCCTGCCGCAAGTGGTGGTTGCTGCTGCTGCTGCAGCAGTGGCATTTCAATAGCCTCCTGTTGTTGTGGTTGTGGTGGTTGTGTTTGTTGTTGTGGTTGTGGTGGTTGTGTTTGTTGTGGTGGTTGTGGTGGTTGTTGTGGGTGTGTTTGTTGTTGTGGTTGTGGTGGTTGTGTTTGTTGTGGTGGTTGTGGTGGTTGTGGTGGGTGTGTTTGTTGTGGTGGGTGTGTTTGTTGTTGTGGCGGTGGTGGTTGTTGGTGTTGCAGCTGCTGCACTGGTGCCGTGCCAGTGACTGTTGCTGCTGTCGGTTGCTGAAGTGAACCACTCCTTGCAGAACAGGCAGCTGGTGTTGGTGGCTGTGTTGTCGTGGGTGGTGGTTGTGGTGATGTGTGGATGTGGAGTGCAGGAAGGAAGTCGTGTAGTGGGTGGCTATTGTACAGGTGTTGGACGCCAGATGGTGCGATCACCAACACCAGTACTTTGGCCTGGGTGGCTGTCGACAGCTCCATTGCCTAGAGGCACACCAGAGAACAAATTTTGTACTTTCAATGGTGTATCGACTTTTGTGAATGAAATTAAGTTATCCTTTGTTTGGGAGGAGTTGTTCTTTTCGAAGTGAACTGCAGTACATGTACTTCATTACATAAAATACATGTTCTCCACTTTACGTGGTATGCCAGTGTTCAAAAATCAGCTTATAGCTAAAAATTCCAAGGCAACTGTCAATACGCAAATATGCGACTGTCAAACGTTTCTAAACCATAAGAGCTAAATATTTTTTAATGAGAGCTAACCTTCTTCATTAGCCCGTTTTTCCTTTTGCTTAGGCAACTCCACCGTCTTGCTCCGTCCGCTATATAACCTGTCACTTGGCGCCTACGATGGCCACTCACGGCTGGTCTGGTGTCCATATCTTCAATTCTTCAATTCTAGTGACCAGCTGGTGACCAGACTTGCTCGACTCAGTATCAAAATTGATCATGGAGGAAGCACCACGTGCACCACGTGCGGTCTGGAAAGTGGAAACCACATTTTGAAAAATCGAAATCGATGGTCCAAATGCAGCCGAAATGTGTACAAAACGCTTCAACCACGCGTACAAACAAGGCTCTTCCATGGTAACAACAATCGGACGTCACCTGTCCTAACTAGGCGATCTCTCGGACTGGTCACGCGATAGTAGGAGCCATGGACTCGGCATGCAGTAGCTCCCTGGTCCAGGTACATGTACGGAACACCTTGCGTAGAAACTTACGTAGACAACGTGTCTCAATAGCGGTGTGGTTAGCTCTTACCCCCTTGTGAACACAATAATAGAAAAGCTGACAGGATCGCTTTCCTAAAAAAGCTTGCGCGTTCTTCGATCAGCAGATTTCTTCCTACGGAAGTATATGGAAAAACAGTTGCATACACCTCATGAAACCCATTATAGGTTGTTATTCTTATTCCTATTACTATTGTGGAAACCGCAATCAGTATTTAAAGACAAGCTGAATCGACATTTATGTATACTCTATTCGACACTACGGCTGTATGATCGCCCTGTAGTGCATGAAAAAATATACACAAATCTCGATTCAGCTTGTCTTATTGATTGCAGTTATCAAATTATTGTCTCCTCGCCGTTTGTATAAGTTATTACTAGTATTCTTATTTCCACAATCACGATGACATAGAGCAATAAACATGTGATGCGGGCGATTCTACCCAGCCATGGTTAGGGTCCAGCGGATAATTCCGGCATTATATTCGGCATTATGAGAGTATCCGAGCATCAGAGCATTATGGAGCATTAGAAAGGAACAAGACGAGCATTATGTGAGGTTTGAGCGGCATAACGAGTTTCTTAGTGGATAATGTCGGATCAGGTTTTTGACAACAATCAGCTAAAGTCATGAGGTGCAACGCCATGTATTGTACCGGCACATGACTTTGTGATTGTGTAGACACGTAACATCTTTAGCACCAATGCTACATTTACCTGACTACATACCGGTACATGTAATGCCATTGCTACATGAAGTCTTTATGTAGCAATGTGGTCAGGTATATGTACAGGTGATGTAGCATGCCGAAATTGCAACTGAGGCTGTTAAACAGAATCCGTAACGATGATTTTCGAGGAGTTCTTTTTTTAGAAATCATGGAGAGCCATGAAGGAGACTAGACGTACGCGAAGTGAATATCAAACAGACGAAGAGGAGATTTCCTGTTATGCCATAGGCTCTGGCCAAAGCATGTCTACTATTCTCTAGCGATACTGAAGTAAACACTGATCCATTGATAAATTTGGACCTGGATGAAGGAGCGGCTATAAACAGAAAGCACTTGTTCCAACAACTGCCTTTGCCGAGTCCAGCTCAGCAGGCTCGAAAAGAACTAGAATTTCTCATGGACGCGGTACCAAGTCGATTTGAGTGCTCAGGAGCGCGTGTCTTACTTTCCTGGTGAAGAACATACAGTTCGTCGTGGACGATTGTAATGCAAGGCCTACAAGTTCAGTCAAGTGCTAACAGAAAAGAAGAGTATTATGGCCAACCATTTGTCTCCACGGAACCGCAGGAGAAGAAGACAGCGCAAGCAGAGGATGTAGAGCGGCAAAATAATTTCTGACCACGTGTTTTCAGGATTTCCGCACATGGGAGGGATCTCGATCTGAGATCGTCCGGCTCTCAGGAACTGGCCTCATGTGAGCTGTTTCAGATGAAGACATTTTCACAGAGTGGAAGCAGTGACAGCTTGTCTGCAGGCATGAATACCCCTTCCCATGATAGGCTTCTAGCATGCAAATGATCACCAGCAATAATGGTTTCACCTCTCACTACATGGATAAGCAAGGGAAAATATTTGATACACCCACTGTTCAGCCACAGCCCTGCATCAAAGTTGCAATGGAGAGCAGCCAATGGAGACGCGATCATGTCTTATAGTGCTAAGAAGTGGTGGAGTTCGTGAGAGATATTGTAGCAGCTTCAGAGGCAGATCGGCTAAATGCATCCTTTTTCTGGAATTAAGTTTGACAATGTGCAGCATTTCTTCCATTTTTGTTTCAAACCAAGAGCATTATAGCCCTTGTTGAAGCATTATAATCAGCATTACAGGGTAGTTTTTAGAGCATTATGATAAGCATTATACGAACATTTTCGGAGCATTATCCGCTGGACCCTAGCCATGGTGGGCACATGCCGCGAGAAAATATTACACAATGCTTATGCTATTGGGCTGTGTGGCCGACAATCCATGATCTGGCGTCACAGGTCATCAGTGCATCGTATTAATAATTATCTTGATAATGGAATTTGATCATAGGAGATGGGACAGAAGCGGAACGTATAATTATTACGCGTGCTGTGGTATTATTATTATTATTATTATTATTATTAAAAAGCTTCCGTGGAGATAAAAATGTAATCAACGCAATAAATAGAGTAAGCTGCGCACTCAGTACAAACACCATAAGCAAAACTTGTTTTCATGTATAATAAATAAGCTTGTTCCTAAACGTTTTCGTCGCCATCTCATCAGAGGATTACTGGCAAATCAACAAAAGCTCTTAACTCAATATATATATACGCACAATGCAAGTAATAATTTAGACCCTAACTAGCGCGATAAAATGAGAGCTGAAAGAAACATTACACCATTCAACGATATCAGGTGACAACAAATGCG